CCCCAGTTCCTCATCCCCCATTGCTATACACCTCTCTTTAATTTTAATGACCCTCTGTACATCTCTTCCATCTCCTCCTCCCATACCTGATCCTGTTCCCCCCTTTTTTTCTGTCTTGCCTTCTTCTATTCTCCCATGTCCCATCCATGCTCTACCTCCTGTGATTATTTTGTTCCCCCTTCTAAGTAGGAGTGAGGCATCCACATTTTGATCTTCCTTCTTAGCCTTCGTATAATCTGTAAGTTGTATCATGGGTTTCCTGAGATTTTTTCCTGATATCCACTTATCAGTGAGTATATATCATGTGTGTTCTTTTGTGACTGTGTTACCTCACTAAGGATGATATTTTCTAGTTCCGTCCATTTGCTTGTGAATTTCATGAAGTCATTTTTTTTAATAGCTGAGTAATACTCCATTATGTTAAGGTACCATATTTTCTGTATCCGTTCCTCTGTTGAAGGACATTTGGGTTCATTCCAGCTTCTGGCTATTAAAAATAAGGCTGCTATGAACATAGTGGAGCATGTGTCTTTGTTATATGTTGGAGAAGCTTTTGGGTATATGCCCAGGAGTGGTATAGCTGGGTCCTCAGATAGTACTATGTTCAATTTTCTGAGGAACCGCCAGACTGATTTCTTTTGAATTTTATGAGGTCCCATTTGTCAATTGTTGATCTTAGGGCATAAGCCATTGGTAGTCTGTCTAGGAAATTTTCCCCTGTGCCCATGTGTTCAAGGTCCTTCCCCTCTTTCTCTTCTATTCCATTCAGTGTATCTTGTTTTATGTGGAGGTCCTTGATCCACTTGGACTTGAGCTTTGTACAAGGAGATAAAAATGGGTCAATTTGCATTCTTCTCCATGCTGACCTCCACTTGAGTCAGCACCATTTGTTGAATATGCTGTTTCTTTTTTTACACTGGATGGTTTTAGCTTCTTTGTCAAAGATCAAGTAACCGTAGGTATGTGGGTCCATTTCTGGGTCTTCAGTTCTATTCCATTCATTTACATGCCTGTCTCTGTACCAATACCATTTGGTTTCTTATCACTATTGCCCTGTAGTATAGCTTAAGATCAGGGATTGTGACTCCTCCCGAAGTTTTCTTATTGTTAAGAATTGTTTTTTCTATCTTGGGTTTTTGTTGTCCCAAATGAATTTGAGAATTGCTCTTTCTATCTCTGTAAAGAATTGAGTTGTAATTTTGATGGGGATTGCATTGATTCTGTAGTTTGCTTTTGGTAAGATGGCCATTTTTACTATGTTAATCCTGCCAGTCCATGAGCATGGGAGATCTTTCCATCTTCTGAGGTCTTCTTCAATTTCTTTCTTCAGAGACCTGAGATTCTTATCATACACATCTTTCACTTGCTTGGTTAGAGTCACACCAAGATATTATATATTATTTTTGACTATTGTGAAGGGTGTTGTTTCCCTAATTTATTTCTTAGCCTATTTATCGTTTGAATAGAGTAAGGCTACTGATTTGTTTGAGTTAATTTGACTTACTTATGTATGAAACAAAGTCAATAACATTCTCCTAGTTTGCTTGTATTTTGCTACTATAAAACACTGAACAAAAGCACCTTGGGTAGGGAATAGCTTACTTAGATTACACATCTCTATCAACATATTTCTATTTTGAGGGTAAGTCAGGGCAGGAAAGTACAGGAAAGAATTGAAGCACAACTCATAGAGCAATTCTATTTTACTGTCTTACTCCACAAGGTTTGCTCAACTTGCTTTCTAGAACCACCTGTCCAGTGGAAATACCACTTCACAGTCAGCTAGATCCTTTTACATCAACCAAGATACCACAGACATGCTTACAGGGCAGATTGAGAGACTTGTCCCTGACATGAGATTCACTCTCTAGTGACTCCAGTTAGTGTCAGGTTGACAAAATCTAACCAGTACTCTATTGCAATTGATAGTAATTGATATCAATTGTAACTGAAAGACCTATGTACAATCCAGTGTCCAGAGCATGATATGTTTATAACTAAGAGCTCTGAAGCCTTTTCTCAAACTAAAAGTAAATCTGTTTTACATTGAAAAATGAAAGAAAAAGATTAGTTTCAAGTCACTAAACTCAGAAATGTTTATCTCTGCTGCATACTTAGAATGTTCCCCTTTAGAACATTGCTTTTCTATTTTTGATATTGAATTTTTATTTAAGAACAATTGAGGATGTGGCCCAATGTACCTTTTAGTTCTCTCTGTACTGTCTTAGAAGCATAGCCATAAGGACAAGTTTCTACATTCTAGTGATTTTTCAAATTAAGGAATGGCTTCAAATTATGAAGGCTTTTTATTCACATAGCTTTGGAATAGCATGGTGTGGTCTAACTGCTAACTTTGTCTGCATTATTTTTTAAAGATCAAATGGGCACAGTGGTAATTTCCATTAATCTCATACAGAGTAGCTAATTAAAATTTCAATTATTATCCATCCATTATCTAGTTGTTGCCTTTGTTCAGTATTAGATCAGGATGTTAATAATAAGACATTCGTGTATTACAGCCCTATTAAGTACAGTGAGATTTAGTTTAATCTATTGCACTGTTTTGTTTCAGGGTTATTTCTTTAATATTATGTTGTGCCATATTGATTATCCTGAAGATACTCACATGCTTTAACATTTTTTTTAAATAGAGATTTCAGATTTAAATACTTGTTGCTTCAGTTCTTTATTCAGTACTGGGAAAAATAGTATGGAAAGAATAAATGAATTATCTGAAGTTCACAATATTTATATATTAGTTCTGCAACCTCACTAATTATTTTGCTCAGTTAGCTATTCCCTGGATTCGTGTGGGTTTTTTTTTTTTGTTTTTTTGTTTTTGTTTTTAAATGTGTAGTCCTGGCTGCCCTAGAACTCACTATGTAAAACAGTCTGGCCTTGAACTCAGAGATCCAACTGCCTCTGTATCCTAAGGGCTGCGATGAGATGTGCATCACAATGTTCAGCTGGGTTCTTTATTTCTGTAATGAAAATATTAAAAGGATTTATCTTCAAGAAGCATTCTAACCTTAACATGCTATCGTGATTTTATAATGTCAAGCATTACCTTATGTTTAAACTCCAAAAATTGTGAAAAAATATTATTCTATAACCTTTATCTGTTCTCTCTTATAAGGTAGCTTGTTTCCATTCCTTGTAACATCTGGATATCCAGATAATATAACTTAAATTTCTTTCTAATGTTCATCATGGTGGCTTTATTCCTACAAGCTTAACCATTTGGGGACCTGCCACAGAAGAATTGTCAGAAGTTCAAGGCCAGCCTAGCCTACATAGTGAATTCAAAGGAAGCCTGTGCTAGAGAGTGAGCTCTGAAGAAGGAGACTCTGTAGGAGGAGCAGCAGCCTCAATTAACCTGGACCCCCAAGATCTCTCAGATACTGAGCCACCAACCAGGCAGAATACTCCAGCTGATATAATGCCCCCAACACATATACAGCAGAGGACTGCTGGGCCTGTGTTCAGTCAGAGAAGATGTTGCTAACCCTCAAGGGACTGGAGGCCCAGGGAGTTTAGAGATCTGGTAGAGTGGGGTGGTTGGGTACATCCTCTTGGAGACAAGGATGTGGGGAGGAGGTTTGGGATGTGTAACAGTTGGAGGGTGGAAGGCAGGGATAAAATCTGGAGTGTAAAAAAGCTTCTTCAACCACAGGGGTCAGCAGCTTCTGTCCATTGGTTAGGTATAAGTATCTGCATCTGACTCTTTCAGCTGCTTTTTGGATCTTTTGGAGGGCAGTCATGATAGGTCCCTTTCTGTGAGTGCTCCATAGCCTCAGTAATAGTGTCCAGCCTTGGGCCCTCCCTTTGAGCTGGATCCCAGTTTGGGCTGGTCCTTGTATCTCCTTTTCCTCAAGCTCTTCTCCATTTTTGTTTCTGCAGTTCTCTCTGACAGGAAGAATTATAGTTCAGAGTTTTCACTATGGGATGGCAACTCTATCCCTCACTTGCAAATTCCCTCTCTCCACTGTTGGGCATTTCATCTAATATCCTTCCCTTTGATTCCTGAGTCTCTCACATCCCAGGTCTCTGGTGCTTTCTAGAGGGTCTCCCCAACCTCCTATCTCCTGAGGTTGCCTGTTTCCATTCTTTCTGCTGTCCCTCAGTCCTTTTGCCCCACCCAATACATGATCCTGTTCTCCTCTTCCCCACTGTGTCTACTCTCCCCTTTCCCACCCAGGTTCCTCTCTCCCTCCCCCTTCCTGTGATTACTTTCTTCTCCCTTTCATGTGGGACTGAGGGTTTTTCTCACTTGGGCCCTTCAGCTTATTGACCTTTCTGAGTTCTGTGGTCTGTATCCTAGGTATTCTGTGATTTTTTTTTTTGGCTAATATATACTTATTAGTGAGTACATACCATACATGTCCTTTTTGGTCTGAGTCACCTCACACTTGATGATATTTTCTAGTTCCATCCATTTACCTGCACAACTCAGGATGTCCTCGTACTTAATTCCTGAGTAGTATTCCATTGTGTAAATGAACCACATTTTCTGTATCCATCCATCTTCTGTAATGGGACATCTGGGTTGTTTTCAGCTTCTGGCTATCACAAACAAGACTGCTATGAACATAGTGGAACATGTCCTCCTGTGGCATGGTAGGAAATCTTTTGTATATATTCCCAAGAGTGGTATAGCTGGATTTTCAGGTAGATCTATTTCCAGTTTTCTGAGAAATATTGAGATTGATTTCCAGAGTGGATTTACCAGTTCGCAACCCCACCAGCAATGGAGGAATGTTCCTCTTTCTCCACATCCTTGCCAACATCACCTGAGGTTTTGATCTTAGCCATTCTAATTGGGGTAAGATAGAATCTCAGGGTTGTTTATATCTCAACATTTCTTGGGTAAGGTCAGTCTATTAAAGCACATTGTGTTTGAAAATGACATAATGTTATTTATATAGTCTATGTTTTGTTTTATTTTCAAGCTTTAATGAAAAAATGTTTGTCTGAAGTAGTATCTTCTGTTTGTTTTGTAGGGTGGCCTGAAAAACAGCAAATATGAGTTCACCCTTTCTTCACAAGAATATGTTCATGAATTGCGATCTGGCATCTCAGATGAAAAACTTCTTAATTGCCTGGAATCTCTGAGAGTGTCCTTAACCAGCAATCCTGTCAGGTAGTCAGTTCTTATCATTTTGATAGGATTCATACATTTTGCATTCTATATGGATATTTGGAAGTATAATCAGGTATGTTATTTTAACATCAAGATTTTTCTGTCTAGAAATGCAAGAGTATCTAACAGAAAAGCATTATCTGATTTTCAGGTTATAAATGTTTAAAAATATGTTTATGTTTAGCTAATCTGATCTTTAATAATGTGTTATCTAAAATACATATAATCATGGAATATTTGTTTCCATTTTGGTTATATAAATTAAATACAGAAGTAAAATATTGACATTTGCATGTTTGTGTATTTATGTACCCAGATAATTTTATTATTTTATCTATAAAACATATTAATTACATTACCTTAAAATTTTATCCTGTTTATAATTGTGATTATATGTAATTATGTATATAATTTCATATGTTTAAGTTTTACATATAGACTACTCACATATTTTTTAAATTTGAAATAGCAGAAACTCTTTTACCAATAAAATAATGAAATAGAAATGATTAATAAACTCCATAGTATTTTATACATTATTAAGAGGCAGTTTCTTAGTAACAATGGATTGGCAAACAATTCTTCCTTTATTGACAGTAATGGGCCTTAAAATTAATAATACCTCAAGTAATATTTTATGAAGAAAAATATATTTTAGTGTAATATTGTGATATTCTGGGATCTACATACTAAATTGTTATGGTCTTAATCCCAGAATTTCCTAAAAATATGTTTATAAAGAAGCTTTGTAATTTTATTCATGTTTCCTTATATTAATGCTCAGATCCAGTTCCTAAATCATTGAACACAAGTTACATACCAGTCATTTATTGGAATTATTTATAGATTCCATTATATTGATTATTTATATTCAAACTATACTTTGCAAAGTTTAAAAGTTATAATTTCAAAGTACAGAGTTAAGATGTGGCTTTGGGTTGTGAGATTCTTTCAGTAGCTGCTGTCTTGCCATTTCTAAAATGGTGTGCTTTATCAGTTTTTATAGTCTCATTCAAGCATTTGAGATCTTTTTGATTTTTATTTCTCAGTCTTACTTGGTAGCCCTGAGTAGCCTGGAGCTCACAATATCCCTGAGGCTGTCCTTGAATGTCTGCTAATACTCCTGCCCTGGCCTGGTCAGTGCTAAGACACCATACCCAGCATGAATATGACTTATCTGATAATTCAGACCACAATATTCTCTCACCTACTGGCACCTACCTCAATATCAGCTGAAGTACCCGTCCATATTAAAATACTTAGTTACAAACATTCTGTTGAACAGTTGAATAAATGAATATAAACTGGGTATACTGTAGTTTCAGCTGTGGGAAAGTGGTTCTGTGAGATTGCCTGAAGTTCTAAGTTGGCCTGGGCAATGGTGTGTGAAGCTCATTAAACCAAACCATTAAAACCAAAACAAAAGTAAAGTCCCATGAAGACTACTACTCTACTACTTGGGACTATGGATCCATGGTTAAGGATGTATCCCTCCTTCCAGAGGACACCTGTGTGCTTCCTGGTAACCACCAGTAACTCCATCTTCAAGGGATCTGACTCCCAATTTTGACCTCTGGGATCCCTCGCAGGCGCGCGCGCACGCGCACGCGCACGCACACACACACACACACACACACACACACATACACACACACACACACACACACACTAATCACCCTCACATTCAATAATGAAGAGACTAGTTCAAATTCATCTTTATAAAAATATGACAGTGCTTGATATTACAAATGGAAAGTGTTTCTATTTTTCTAGACTGTTCTTTTTATTTTTTTGAGGCAAGGTCTCTCTATGTAGCAAGGTCTCTCTGTATAGTGCAGCCCAGACTATCATGGAACTGTGTAAATCAAGTAGGCTTCAAATTCTCATAGATATTCCAGCCTCAACTCTCGTGAATGTATGGGTTCAAGTTGCTGGACATTTGTCACAGTTCCCAGTTTTACAATTCTGCATAGCAACCAAAGGCTTGTGAAAGAGGGTTTTGTGATCTCGCGAGAGTTTGGGAGTTAAAGGGCAGCAACTGCCCTTCCTGGTAGCTGATTGGCAGCACAGGAAGTGTGAAGTTATTTGTGAGGCTGGGCACCGGTGTTCTGCAGTAGCCATCAGTGGTATCTAGATGTGCGTTGTATATCGAGTCAGTCATCGAGCTTCTGTGAAGAAGTCATACCAGGAGACAACATTCTTTGCCACAGATTGTATGGAGAAGTAACTCTGTTGATTCATCAAACCTTGCCAAGTCCTGAGAAATGATGAGTAAGGGCGGCTTTGGGAGCGAAGACAGTTTGGTGGTGATGGGGCTAGTAGGTCTAGTAGAAGCCATGAGCAAGCCAGAGCTCAGGCGTTGGGGTTTCCTCTGACTGGAATATGGAGGCCTGTCACACACAGCTCTGTGCCATACTGTATAACCCAGTTGCTAAGTGCCACTGAAGTTGACAGTTTGTTCAAGATTAGGGGGTTTACATTTCACCAGGTCTCCAATGTGGAGATGATCATGGAGGCCAAAAAAGCTTCATAGTATATTGTTTACAAAATTAATGACATGACCTCAAAGTCAGGGTAGGCAGGCTATGGCTGAAAGGAGATCCAAGCAGCACCTGATTCCTCTGCCTATTGGAATGCATGTCAAAGTGCTTGGCATCCTCCAGGCCTTGGAGGGAATCAGACAGCTCAAGATGATGAGCATCTACATCCTGGAAGACATGAACAAGCTATCCACACACACCCTGGAGATTGTTGATACCCATTCAACAAAGCCATGCAGACACAGCTACAGAAAGCCGCTCCACAGTCCAGGCCCAAGTCCAAACGGCAGCTGCCAGGGTTTCCAGGGTGGTGGTTCTTAACTTCATCCATATGGAGGTTCTGCATCCGATTGGAGAGTGCCCTCACCTGAAGGGAAATGCTATCAGTGTGCTGTGAATACAGCTTCTTGGAGTTACAGATGATGCCATCTCACAAGCCATTGAGTATCTGAATATGAAGGGACACATCTATCCCACCCTGGATTGCCTGCAACTTCAAGTTACTGGCTGAGACAAAAGAATTGACTTTGTAGTTTCTGAAGATGCTTCTGTTCTGCTGTTTTGATTTTTAGGATGTATTGTCTATTTCGAACAAAAAAGAAAAAGAAAAAAAGTTAAAGAACAAAAACCAAAATAAAACTGAACATAATTTTCAGATGACATCTGTTAGTAACATGCTATTTCTACCTTCATTGAACTTGTCTGCTTTCTGAAGACATTTGAAAAAAAAAAATAGTGACATACCCAATGGCTGGACTTTATTTCCAAAATAATAGAAATAACCTAGGGTAGATTTGTAAGAGAAAACAAATTTGTGTTTAAATTAGAATTGTTTTTCCTGTTTCATTTTATCTTAGTCACGTTAAGTTTTCCTCATTATAGTTCATGATAAATACAGCTTTCCTCAAAATGAGTTATGATTTTAAATATTCACTTCAAGTTATTTTGCATAATTTGGTTTTATTAACTTTTATTTGTTTCTTTAAAATAAGATGTTACTGCAAATTCATGCAATGTACTCTCTTTGAGACATTCCCATATACCTTCTTTAAACATGTACAAATTCAATGATTTTGCTCCTTAATCTAAATTACAGTGCACTTTCCTTGCATGGCGGACACAAGGCTGCATGTTTGTTGTGCAGGTGTATTGGATGTTCTACTATATGGAAAATAGGGGGTTTTGCTTCAAGATAGGCAAATTACCGCAGAAACAAGACTTGAGTTCAACAGAGATGAACTGAATTGTTTTTATTAAACGTTTGCAAAATTTTAAGTTTCCTGTGTGGTTTTTATCCCTCCAATTTATTAGAAAAAGCCACTAGTTTAATGTTCTTAATGGTTATCAGCTTTTATTATGAAGTATAAATTTTTTATTTTTAACACCAAGCATTATATTTTACTAGTAGTAACTCATTTTAATGTACGTTATATTAAATGTGAGCTTTTAAGCCATTGATCATTAAGTCCTCCATTACACATATAGTAAAAATGGTGTATTTCTAATTATTTGTTTAGTTAAATAAGAGGAAAGAAAATACTTTTTCTAAGAATAGATATGTGTTCTTATTTTTATTTAGACAGGCAGGTAGAAAAGAATCTTATCCTTTTTAATCATTAAAAGGGGACACAAGTTCCATAAAATCCTTTAGCTATTTAGCAATCAGTAATGGTTTTAGAAAAACATTTTGAAAATGTTGGCATCTCATTAAAATAATTACTGAAAAATCTTGCATAAGATGCTTCTTCCCCTTGAAAGCAAATTATAAATGCTGTTTAAAATTTTTTATTTTATTTTATTACTTTTTAAACAATTATTTATTTTATATACCTAAGTGGTTTACCTGCAGGTATGTGTACCTTGTATATACTTGACATCCTTGGGAATCATTAGAGGGCATCTTATTCCCTGGTTTGTGGGTGCTGGGCTCTCTAAGGAGTCTCATCCCTTTGACCCCTGTTGTTTTCTTATTGACAGCTATGCTTTGAATATTCCCTGAAGGAAGCTCCTACTACCCTGATATTCTTCTTCACCATACTCCTATAAAAAAAGCTAAGCCACCATAAACTGAGCCTTTGAAATGAAATTATAGTCACATTTTCCTCAAAAGGAAAACAAAACAAAAACACAGCATTTGTTTTTAAATGTTGTGCCATCTCTCCAACTCGTATAAATGGTATTTTTGAAATAATTATTTTATCATTTGATAAATTCATTTAATACATTATAATCATACTTGAAAGGATCACAAAGTAGGTACAAGACACCACAACACCAAGTTCTCAGCACGAAAGAAGTTTATTTGCACCAGAAGTATGAAGGGCAGGAAATAAGAGACAGAGATGGGAGATAGAGGATGAGGGAAAGGGGAAGGGATATTGCTTCTGGATAGAAGGAAGACACATATGGCCCATAGGCAAATGGCAGTTTTTAAAGGGAAAGGGGGAAACTCCTGTGTTC